CATTAGAATTGTGTCCTATATGAGGCAGTGGATGACAAAAAGTGAAACAAAAAGAGGCAACAAACAGCCTCTAACAATAAACAAAACAGTTATGACAGACATCAACCAACGACAACCACTAGATTGGCTTCACACATGCACATAACGAATGTGACTTGGTAAATATCAATAGAAGGGGTAAAAATCAGTTGGAAAGGGCTTTACTCATCAAAGTTCGACTGAATACAACAATAATCAACAAAAGAGACTAAGTACAGATCTAAAAGTGTTAAGAGTAGCTGAAAGTTCTTGCTAGGCCTAAATCCAACTTTTTATGAATATACCATGTAGCAGAGTATTTCGTTTGGTCAAAATATTTGTCATTTCAGCGGAACATTATTTAGGGGGGGGGGGGGGGGGGGGAGAGGGTACAAATATAACATTGTATGAGATATTTATAGATTATCGTTGGTTATCTCAACGAGATTGATTTTTTCGCTTGAGCCGGTACGGCGAAAGCGAGAAAAGCAATCGAGTTGAGATGACCAATGATAATCTATTTATCGCTATTTTACCTATGAAGACGTTGTTAATTTCCTTGACAACGGCACGTGTTCCCTTAGTTTCTAGCAATAATTTTCATATCACTCGACTCCGTTTTCATATCACTCGACTCCGCTGAGAACGGAAATTCTCAGTCAGCAAGATCAAAGGAAAAATTCGTAAAATAGCGATAATATCAAATACTACACATAACTAATAAGACGATCAGGCATATCGGAGAAAGTTTGCTGTTCTTGCTACTGTCCGTTCAAATGTTTTGTGATTTTTACTTAACATAATAAATATTGTAATTGTTAGCCATTGTACTGATTTCATCCGTAATGCGGCCTCTATTTGAAATAAATGTTATGTTATGTTATGTTATGTTATGTTATGTTATGTTATGTTATGGGTTATGTTATGTTATGTTATTTTATGTTATGTTATGTTATTTTATTTTATTTTATGTTATGTTATGTTATGTTATGTTCTATGTTATGCTATGTTATGTTATATGTTTTCTTATGTCATCTTTTGTCATCTGTCATCTCATCTCATCTCATCTCATCTCATCTCATCTCATCTTATCGCACTCATCTCATCTCATCTCATTTCATCTCACCTCATCTTATCTTAGTGGCATTCTTTCATTGCGTTTGTATTATATATTTTTTTACACAATTATTCATTATTCAATTTCTTAAGACTGGTATACTAATTAATGTCAATCATTAATGTGACGCCCACCACCAAATATTACGGATAAAACCATCAGTAGATTATTTACGAAAATGTCCATATTAGAAATATATTCTGCCTATAAATGTACACCTTTATTAGACGAGTGACATTAACCATAAAATTTTATTTTTAATGCACCCACCTAACATACGGCTTAATCATATACCATTCGAAAGCACATCATCTGCACTACCTTTTTTGCCCGGTCGTCAAAAATTCGTATGGTGCAGTTTCTGTCAAATCACAACGAAAGGTCAAGGACGGACAACTTCTAATTTTACAAGAAGTCAGCATTTTTTGCATATTCTGTCTTCTCAATAATGATATTTTGTATGGACATATGGAAATCTGTTAGAACAGATGTTAATAGTAACTTATCAAAAGCACTTTGAAATATTAATGTCGGATTTTTAATTAATAGCGCTGTTTTCCAGAAATTCTATTGAAAATGACAAAAATGCATGAAAATCAAATTTTATGTCTGTGATTCAACTGTTATTCACCATAAAACCAAATAACATATTTTACTTAGTGCTAAGGATGTTTTTGACATCATTAAATTACTGCAATAACGCTTCTTGTTAATTAAACAACCAATTATAACAACCATGCAGTTGCCCAAAATACCGCCATCTGCAAGAAAATAGCTTTTTTAGCTGTTCTTTGTTAAAACAGTTTGTATGTAGTCGATATTATGTTAAAAAACACAATTTTAAAGGTGCAAAAATGTTAAAGGATAGAATATACAGAAAATTCGTGCATTTAGGGAAAAGTTTGGGAGCGAAACTTTGATAATTCAATATTTCAATATTTGTATGTTTTCTTGGTTGCTTATACTGCATCTTGCATTGAATGAGGAAGTGAAAACTATTATAAGCTAGCCACTGAAATGTTCTTCATGCCTGGCCAATATATTTAATCCTATCCAACTACGTAATATCTTGTAAATAAATTGAGACCCTCGCAATTATATTTACTTACATTAATTTTTGAATTGGGAAATCTAGCAATTTGCAATAACAATACATACATTTCCATTAATCAAATTTACTCCCTGAATAGTTTACATATAAATACATTTTAATATAAAGATGATTTATTGATTGTTTGTGTTTGGCGCAATTTTCGGTTTAGACTTTTGGCTTCTAAAGTATTTTGCGGCGATCAGTTTTAAATGGTTTAGGCCCACGGAATGCCCAAGGAACCACCGACCTTCGGAAGGAAAACTGGCAATCCCCATCAACAATACATTAGTTAAAGCTATTAGTATCAAGGACGAAGTTACTGTGTAGGTGTCACAACACAAATATACCAATCAGCATTGATCACCTTTTGTAAAAGTAGGCAACCTCTAACCAAACACAGCAGTGTTAATGTTGATGTTTACTTCAGCTAAATGTTACAAGTAAAGTTTCTTAATAAAAACAAAAATATAAATGCATTTGAACCACTTTTATTTCAAATTTAATTGGCCATGATTTTGCATTAAAATTTCAATGTAGATTTGCCACATAATATTTTCATTTTAGACATTTAAAAAAAAGAGCACGATCTACTATTTTAGTAGATCATCTATTAAGCATTGGTTGATCATTGGCATATTAAAGATAGTACATGTATATTAAGATACATATGGTTCAAATGAAGTTATTTTATTCTAAAATATCTATACAATTGTGAGAAATGAAAAAAATGTGGTTGAATTTATCCAGTTTTTTTAATTGGTTTTATGTCCTCTGATCTTAAATTATGTTCGTAGATATTTATTGTGCAATAAGCCCTCTATTATTGATCTGACAGCGACTTTTTGCGATTTTCTCACTTTATTTTCATATTTTTCGGTTCAAGTTTCTAATGGTGCGAAGATTTCACAACAATAATAAGTGATATAAGTTGACATAAAACAAATCGTACAAAATGTTATGTATAAGTGTTAAAAACATGGGTTAAAACAATCTGACTAAAATTAAGATCAATCACGACTCGCCTGCTCATATATTGCATGAGAATAACGAAATCAGAGAACTACATTTTAATAAGATTAGGGTTAACTTAATGAGATAGCTTGAAAGCAGGTATGTTCTGGTAAATTTAAAGCGATTACTGTTTTAGCGCTATTTGAAACGTCTATTATGAAACAAATCCCTTCACGTATAACCTCCATATGTGCACTTTGAACTTCCATAATTCTGCCAAGCAATGTCGAAGGAATGTTGCTCATTACAATTTTGAGACTAACATATGGATATGTGAATGGAAAGAACAAAAGAAAAAAGGCCGTAAGGACAAGATGATTCCTACATTTCCGCTTTATCATATAAAGAAAGATAGAGATGGAGACAGAACTACGAGGTCTATCACAACTGTTTTCCAATCGTTTGATGTGTTTCAGCTTTTGGTTTTGATATGTGATAAGAGACTTTCTGTTTTGAAATTTCACTTGGAGTTCGGTAATTTATGTTGTTTTACTAACTTATTTTTTGCATCAAAATCTGAGTTTTTTTAGTTCTGTTGTCTTTTTTCGCTCAGCTTTGAAATTTATGGTTTTCTTTTCTTTGATTGAAAGAAGGGATAAAAAGGGATAAAAGTCTCAAACCATGGTCGAAGAAAAACAGATGACAGCATGACCATGGCGAAAAAGTAAGACAGACAAACAAATCTTCTTAAAACACTATACCGAATTGTGTGAACAATTCATAAACCAGTATGGTGATTACAGTTGTTCATGAAGGTTATTCAATCTTAATTAATCTGAATTATTAATTTTCAGTCATATTTAATAAAACAACTAACAAAGTATATTATAATGGGTTAACATTAAAAGGAATTCGCCGGATTTGACATTGAAAATCGCATGGTACAGACAGTTTTCTTTCGAACATTGAACGAGCATAATCTTCGTAACATGTCTTTCTACATCGGGAAACTACTTTTTACCAAATATACTTCTTTTGTTCCTTAAAGTTCTTCCATAACCTTTTTTTAAATATGGTTGATCATTATCTGCCGATATTAGCAATATTATCTAGTAAAAAAAAGCTAAAGGATCTCCATTTGCAGATGGTGTTTTTGGGGCAACTACAAAAGCTTCATTAGAAGGCTGCATCTGGACCTACATCATATAAATTGCAGTTTAAAATGATGAAAAAATTCCCTCGGTCCATAAACGATAAATCTATTCTATTTTTGACATACAAATATTCAAATTTCAGAAAACATTTAGATTTTATTGCAATTTTATCATTTTTGGAAGTTTTTTCAAGAAATGCATTTTTTTGTTAATATAGCGCAATCAACATTTAAGTTTGCACTTGATTTGAAATCATGGTAATTTGTTCTATAAGGTTTAGATCAATTTTAGGGAATAAAATGCCATACAAGTACCTGAAAATGGCATTTTGTGTAATTATAGCAAACATTTGGAATGCTCAGTTTAGACCTTTGACATTGATTTAACGAAAATTGCACCGTACGAATTATTGACGACGGGGCAAAATTGAAAGTACAGGTAATAAGCTTTCGAATGATATATAATATAGCCGTATGTTAGGTGGGTGCATTAAAGTCGTTAACTAAACGTCTTTTTGAAAATTGTCACTCCCCTATATACAATACTTGAATACTTGAATCTTCTTATACAGTCCTTCAACAGCGTATTTCATTTTGGATAATCCATCATAAATAATATTAATCATATGTATGTAACATTTCATATCCTAGTTGTAAATATGTGCACTTGAACCATAACATTGCATACTACAATAGTATTTGTGTTTCAACAATTAAAAGTTTGATGGCGGATAATAATAGGTTGTCTGATACAACACCCGTAAGTTTATATGATTTTATTATTTATTTACTTTTTAGAAAACTAATTCAGTTTTATTCATTATAAAGAGAGAATTGCATCCTTTTATTTACAAGATTAACTGTATCGCCGATGTCCTCCACGATTCAAATTGTCTGAACACACACACATATATATATGTATACCTTGAAATGACATGACATGTAAATCTTCATTTAACCACTGATATATGTAAAATTAAAAAGATGTTGTATGATTGCCAATTAGACAGCTATCCATAAAGACGATAGGACAAAGATTACAGGTGACTGTCCGGTCTTCAACAATGAGCAAAACAGTTATATATTAAAGGCAGCGGATTGACAAATTGGGAAAAAATTCAAAAGAGAAAAAAGCGGCCTGATTTATACTACAACAATATACGAAAAACAAATAAGGCAAACAGTAACCAATGACAACATCGGAATTACTGGTTCCTTGCTTGGGACAGGCACATAAAGAATATAACGGGGTTTAACATGTGTGTGACTGCCCAACCCTCCCTATAACCCTTATTTAATAATTCAATTCCTTTTCAGGATTTTTCTTTTACATACGGCAGAGTTCAGATTCTGGAAGCCTTGTTTACTGATATTATTAACATTGTAGCACTATTATGCGTAGAAAATGTCACGAATAAGTAACATAATACAATTATTAGAATAGGAATGCTTGGATGCTGTAAATTATTAGGATTTTTCGATTTTTTAAGGACTATTATCACTAGTCTACGAAACTGCTTTCTATAATTATAAAAATATATTTGCCGATGGCATGGCAGTTTGTTTTGTTTTTTTCAATCTATTTTCTTTATCTTAATCCTTATACATTAGTTATATTATAAGAAACCAGAATTCTCTCTCATCGACATTTGCCTAACATTTCCGTTTATATTCACAAGATCTATTTCGGGTAATATAACACTCGTCAAAATATAAGTGTAAAATGCGTCTTTTTTATTTTTGTAGATTTTTAGTCATGATGAAGATGATAACACAACACCGGAAATTAAAGAAGAGAAGTTCAAGAAAGATATTATTTGTCAGGAAAAAGGTTCAGATCAACTGAATAGCTACAAGGAGTTCCGAAAGAGGGTAAAATTGTTGTCTCATATTAAACTGAAACGAGCAGGTGGCTACTTCCACCATATTGTCGTGTTGGCAATCTCTTCGGTATCTGATGGGGTAGATGCTGTCACTATCGGACATTACACAACCTCTGCTGAAATAGGGACGGAGAGTAGTCATGGCATCGGTAAATTCATACAGCAGACGATCTTCATTGGAGAAAACGATACACACGACATTTTAGACTTTAACCAGGGTGTGTATTTAATTGAGAAGGAGAACTACCCAAGGACAAAAGATGAAATTGAGGAAGCTTTTAATCGTCTCAGCGAAAGAATTGGTGAGAGAATGTATGAAATATCATCAAATAATTGTGAGCATGCGATCAACTATATTTTAACCGGAAAGAGTGTCAGTTATCAAGCAGACACAAAAACTTGCTCCAGGATCTGTTTTATTGATTTGATCAATATTTTATTAATAGACTGTAAAGAAGTAGGACTCAAAACAGCTTTGTTAGTAGCTGCCCTCGGTGCCATTGCTGGTGCATTGGTGCGTAGAGCTTACATAAAAGTAATTGTTGCAGCTATTGTCAGCCTTACCGTCGAAAGTAGAATTATTAAATGTGGGGACAAAAGAGGAAGCAATATACGCAAAGAAGCGGATATCAGAATAGACTTAGCTGCTCATATGCCCGATATCAAACGTGTTCTTAGCAACTCAAGTATTGCTATCCTTGACGACATGAAGAATCACACTGATACGAATTTTGTTTGTAACATTGCAGAGAAACTTATCTATGGATCAGCTCTGAAGACGAGTTTGGCGACTGTAACTGTCGCTACAGGAATAGAAACTATATTATTTTTGTCTTTCGTATTTTACAATTTAATTTCAAGGCGACGAAAGAAAACATTAGATGACAAACATCTTTGTCGGCTTCTGTTCATGCAATTTTTTTCCGGATACGGCTCGATAGGAATTGCTGTAGTTTGTGGATATTTCGCATTTTTAGACTTTAATCGTCCTGCATTATCTTTCTTTGGAATTGTATTTAGCTGTTGTCTTGTTTTTCGATATTTATTGACTTGCACTACAGGTTTGATCTTTAACGTCTGCTGTCGTCAGTGTTGCTGGATATGTTGCCAGTCAAGTTGTTGTAAATGTTTCGAGGCCTGTTGTCGTTGTAGATGTTATAGGTGTCATTTAAGTACCTTTTGTTTTATTTTTCTTACTTCATTAATCATTATATCTGTTGCTTTACTTTTTATTGTGTTTTGGGACGATCGTTCAAAACTACGGATTTAAGTCGGAGACTGAATGTTGAAGAAAGAAGGAGTGAGGGTGGGGCCGAAAATGAAGTTTCACAAACTGCAAGAATGCAGCTGTTAAGAACAGAATCATTGTACTTAAAATAAAAGTTTACTTTGTTAAAATTCTCTGAATTCAAATACCTTAACTGTAAATATAAATCAGGCTTTTGCGTTAGCTTTTTCTTTTAAGATTTATCAGACTTTACGTATTATTTTATTATGCATGGGTAGTATCCTATTAAATTGGCAAATGTTTGATCTGTCGAGCTGAAAATTGATACTACAGAAAGTAATAGAAAGTACAACAGAAATACAAAACATTCTCTAGAAATTGTATTTTCCAGGAAATGTCTTATGCGGAAACACGTCTGTCCGACAACAAACACAAATAACACATGCATTATGCAGTAAGACATATTAGAAATACTTATCTATAGTTTACCTGTACTGTCTATGACTTGCCATTTGAAGTACAAAAATTCATTTCAGTACTGTGAGCCTGCGTTCAGTGACTGCGAGCATTCTTTGGAACGGAATCATTGTTTACCTATCATGTTTCTGTTGCCTGTAGAGTTAAGTCCTTTTTATTTTGTGTTCTTTTCATGAAAGTATTGATAGTACATCGATTTTTAAAAGGAAAATAGTTTAGATCTCAAACAGGTCATATGTATGTCCCAAGCTAGGAACCATATCAGTAGTTGAAAAATGTCATATCTTAATACTTTTCGTTATTTGGAGAATTGGGCTTACTGGCAAATCTTTAATTGATTCTGTGTATGTATTCACAACTTTTACAGACTCGGGGGGGTATAGAAATCTGTCTATGTTGAAGAATGTATGTGACCCGATATATGTCTTTTGGTTATTTTGTCGTTGGTTTGCTGTCTCAATTTGAATTTATTTCAACGCTGATATTGAGTTTGCATTGGATTGATTTTCGGCTAAGATAAATTTGAATATATGGTTGCCTATATTGAAATATGATTGTATTACAATAATGAGATGTGGTATGATTGCAAATGAGACAACTATCCACCAACGTATGTGTATGTTAGCAACAACAGGTCATCGTGTGGCCTTAATAATAAGCAAAACCCATAACAGCAACAAAAGCCAGCCACTTAGTTACAGGCTTGTAGTTTGATTGTTTCTTAAAGTTTTATTGTTTAAATTTGCTTGCCTTTTGTTTTGTCTTTGTTTTATACAACATTAAAAGTTTGTATACGTCACATACAAAAAATGCTCATGTACTTTTCTTTTAATTTATTTTTATTGTTATAGTAAACAATTTGTATGTAAATCATTGATTTGTGTTTACCGAAATAAAAAAAAATGGTTCAAAAGGCAAGAAGAGTCATGTTTAAGCAGGTATTAGACTGTTGGTTTTTCCGTTTGAATGGTTTTACACTAGTAATTTTTTGGGGCCCTTTATAGCTTGCTGTTCGGTGTGAGCCAATGCTCCGTGTTGAAGGCCGTACCTTGACCTATAATGGTTTACTTTTATAAATTGTAACTTGGATCATGAGAGTTGTCTCATTGGCACTCATACCACATCTTCCTATATCTATGGACATTACTGTTATTATTATTAGATCTGTACTTCGTTTCCTTTTTTATTTGATCGTTGATTTAATGCTTAAACCCTCCTGATGAATCCCCTTTAAAATGGTATTAACTGTTAGTTCTAACGTTCTGGTGTTCATTATACTATCCCAGACTAGGGAGTGAGCGGTTCATAAATATTGGAACCCATCCAGCAGCTTGTAGTCCAGTTGTTGTTGGTTGTTGCGTGTTATTATTTATTCACGTTTTATCTTTTTGACTTAAATCAGGCTTTAGTTTTTTTTGTTTTGAATTGTTTCACATTTTGTTATCCCGGTGTCTTCAAGATTGATTTACGGTATTGGTTTTGCTCACTGTTCTAAGCTGTGCGGTGACATGTGTGTATTTGTATACTCCCTAGCATGTCATTCGATCTTTGGTTGAGGCAATTGATTTTTGTATTTGACAGTTTTATCCTTGTTTGTCAAGGTCCTTTATAGTTTAATGCTTCTAAATATTTCATATCCTAAAGCCCAAAATTTTGTTCTGGTGTGTACAAGAGGAAGGTTATTCTAGAAACACATATCATGAACATCAATTTTATAGTTTACATGTTATAAAAATAAGCAAGTGTTTACAAGATGTTTATCTGTAATAAAAACCCGTCTATTGATATACATCTATTGCAATCGAAATGTCGAGAAAGGTATACATATTCGATAAAATAATAATCCACTAGTTTTGATAGATAATTTTTATTTATTTAAATTGTTGCATAACAAATCATGGATTTTTACCTTTGCTTATTGAGTTACATGACAACTCATAAGAGAGCTAGGTAAAAACAGTTTAAGATATAACACATTTATCTTCATTTAATTCAGTATTAAACAAAACTGATTTCATTTTGCTTTTGATTTGGGGTCTAAATTCGCATGAATTGAAAATGCACAAAATGTTTTGATGACTTTTGGAAATAAACTTCAAATTAACGGTTCTTCATATATTGTAAAACATTTACTGTTTAATTTATTGTTGCGTTTTTTTGTTTTTGTTTTTGCATCGGTTTGTTTATTTTAAGGGAGGGTGACTTTTTATGCAAACGCAACATTGTTTTATATTGCATGTCCGTCTGTCCATACTCTGTTAATAGGTACATTCATTGGTAGTAGGTCTTTGATAATGCCTCTTAAATTCATTAACAACTTCTAGACTCGGAGCGATGAGCTTGACATATTGCAATGCCACATGTCTGTATTGTTGAACATGGTATATTGACATCAGATGTCAAGATGTCTTTTGATTCTTTGTGTTTATCGGTTGCTGTATATTGACCTATACATTTCCTTTTATTCATATCGGTATATATTGGAGTAATTCAAAGGAAAAGAATGATTATGGCAGTTTTTATCCGTCATTTATCCTTATTTTTCTTTAATTTCCCAAAAGAGTTCGCATTTGCAAAAAAATCAAAATATCGAAAGTTACGTTTTTGTTCGCTGAACGTTCATCTGCCAATATTAAAGATAAAAATCTTACGACAAAAATTGATCGCAAGTTAATCTCAAACCTTTTTATTGGACTATTGGTAATTTGTTCTCGTTCCGAAAAAGCAGGACAGATCTGAAATTTCAAAGTGTCACTGGGCGTTAAGCAAAGAGAAATTTATCAATCAAGCCTGTATACATTTCTACTTTTTGCATCTGTAAATGCTGTGAAATCTTAAGCGACGCCGGTTTCGCCCTTGACCCAACCCCTCCTAATCTGAGCTTTGGCTTTGAACCCAACGCGTAAGATCGTTTGCCTGATAAGATACAAAGATCAAGCTAGGCCACCGAATAACCAAACTGATAAGGGATATTGCATTGTTAATTATGCTTGGGTTTTATCCTGAATCAAATGTGGCTGGATTATGAAGGGAATGATAAAAACAAAGATTCAACAGATTGTTGGAAAACATATTTTTTCTCAAAATACAGGTTTGGGATTAAAACGTTCTCCACCTAGGCGAACATTTACCGTATAATTAGTACAACGCATGCTGCAACAGGGTCCCTTTTACTATATGCCTCTGCTAGTAGGTAAGTAATATAGAGTTCAGTAGGAATCGCCGCATTTTTGACATCTACTGTGGCACTATCTGACAGACAAAAAAATACAAACGAATAATGACGTGTGCTTCAGATTAATAGAAGCGTAGTCAAGAAGCACGCAATGGCGTCCTCATGGACCTCAACTGGAGACCATGCGAAGACGTCATAATTTAGAATCACGGTTGCTATGAGCGACATCTCGAAGGGGGAATAAATATGTTAGACTCACAGTACAAATAAACGATATGAATAGCGATAACCATGATAAAGCAACCGACGATTCTTATATTTCCGATTTTTCCGCTGATGAGTTTCTATGTGATGTGAACCTTATTGTAGAAGACAAACCTCTGTATACTAGTCGCAGTTTGTTAGCGTTTGCTTCACCTGTGTTTAAATGTATGTTTTCCGGGGAATTTAAAGAAAAGGGACAGTCAAATATCAATCTCCCTGACAAGTCCTATCAGGATGTTTCGGAGATGATTCGTTTCATTCATCCAGGATTCAGTGACGATTTAGAAGCTGGTACGGATTCCGCTTTTCGACTTTTACCAATTGCAGAAGAATATCAAATAGACAAGCTAAAGGAAAAGTGTGAAGATGTTCTCCTGTCCAAGCTGAAAAGTGAATCCTTTACTCAAGATTTTGTAGTCGACAGTTTGATAGTTGCAGATAAGTATTCCTTGCAAAACCTGCTACAAGAATGCATCGAAATATGCAGCAAATCAAAAACTTTATGGCAAGTCGTTAAGGATAACAAAACAATGTCACTAGAAATAAAAACGAAAGTTTTCGAAGGTCGCTTACGGAAACTAGAATTCGAACAGGAAAGCTTTAACATTATGAAACAGAGAGTAAGTGCAGTGGCATATAGGTTGAAGGAAATAGTTTATCCTCACGAAAATCACTGCAGGTGTCGAACAGAACTGAAACTTCGATCACCTTTGCAGCGAACGTGTGTTTACTGTGCGCGAACATGGTGTTCTGAAAATGTCAGCACAGATTCATATCGGAATTCATACTGGTTTTACTGTAACCATAGGATAGGCTATACTGTAGCAAATGACACTATAATTAAAAGCTTCTTGGAAACTAAAGAATTCCTCAATTTATGATCAAAATAGACATTTTAACAATATCAATATATTGTATTTCTATAATTTACTTTTTAAAGCACATTAGTCTTTGTTTGTTTTCTTTGTTTTGCTTGCAAACCATGTTGAAATATTGAACTGAATTTTTTGCGACATATAGTTTTGCAAAACTGTTATAGGCAATAGAAATATCGATTGGAACTCTATTTTAACTGGAATTAATCGCTTTCAAATCACATGACTTTTTTTCTAATAACAGATAATAGGCTCTAGTGCACGTGACTTTTTTTCCTAATAACAGAAGTTAGGCTCTAGTACATGTGACTTTTTTCCGAATAACAGACATTAGGCTCTAGTACACGTGACTTTTTTTCCTAATAACAGATATTAGGCTCTAGTACACATGCCGTTTCCGGTGAATAACATTTGAAACTTTTGTTTGCAATGGCCCTTTTGATCAATGATGATAAATGGGTGTATCATGCTTACAGTTAAAAGATCGAGCGCGAACGCCCAAATCACAAATTTCATCATATTCCTATGCACTTGTTCCATCTCGGTTGTACTATTTAGATAACTTTTATAACTTTTTTTTTATAATAAAAATATTTGGTATGATTGTTCATCACCATTAGCCAGTGTGTTACAAATTAAGGATGTCTCGCATAAGCTATAATATGACAAAAACATTTACTTATACAGAAAGCCATAGGTACAAGAACATCAATAATTTCCTGAATACCGTCACCTGTATACCCCTCCCCCAATTTGGTAGTGAAACTCGTGCTAAAGAGGGGCATCCGTTTGGCTGTGTGGGATGTATAAAAGCGCAATACAGGTACATTAAATCCGATGCCTCGTGTTGGAAGAGTTCAAAGCTTTCTGCAAGTTAATCTGTATCCGAACGGAAACGTCGAAGATACCAATCCTGGCTTTAATGCGACAGGGCTTTTTATTCGATGAAACCTTTAACCAACTCTTCAAGGGGTCCGTAGAATGGCTGTTGCAAGGCAACGTTTATGTTTATGTCTCTCTACACCACCCCCTCTTTTCCAAGTGGCAGTTACATTTCCCGCGTGTCCTAGTCCTTGTGTACAGAACCTACCTATTGTATTAATTGTGCTGAAAATGCGTGAAATATTTGGCGCTGGACGTTAAGAAAGCACAATGAATGAATCAATCAATCAAATTGAATCATGACACCGTAAACATTGTTCTGTTGTCACGCATCGGATAAAAAGCCTACAAAAACTAAAGAAAATAAATTGAACCATCAAAAAGGGTCCCGCGTGAAAAAAAAAGTTTTTTTCTGTAGTTTTTTTTACAATTCACCGACTTGATATCTGATTGTTTTGCCTTCGTTACCTTGAGCGGACCCTGTACTTTAGATAGGGGTTCGGTCTAGGGTCAGGGTTAGGCATCCCTTGATAAGCAAATATGCTCCTATTATCTGTAGATCGATTCAAGTTGTCTGGAGATAGAGAACTGACAATACGATTCTCCCATCAATACCTGGAGTGATGCAAGGCCCCCGGATCAACATCGCATGCTACGCTCATTGTATTTTAAAAAGGTAAAATTCGGAAATTTGTCTATTTAGGTAAGAAAACAAAATCAGTATGAAGCACTTTTGAAAATATGTCAGCGATTATTTTGTGACACTCATCTGGGAACGATCGACTCGTTTGTGTAGCCGACCGTAAAACTTTTGTAGTGAACTTCTACGAAACGAACACCGTTCAAACCGGAAGTGATACTAGGTGCTCCGGTTAGGCAAAGTTATGCATTGGAAATCACTAATCTATTACATGCACTGTATTTTTAATTTTCCTTGAAAAGTTGGATACTGACACACACTCAAATTAATCAATGGTGCAGATGTAAAATTCAGTGATTTTGGATCAAGTTATTTCCAACAGCTATCATTATATGAATTTGAATAAAAAAATAAGGATACCTGCCTTTTATAATCGAATGGTCTTCATTAACATACAAGTGAAATCAATCGAAAGTAAATAACTAGATTTTAATAAATAGCACTTAATAACAGTTTTTTTTCTAACAATGCTATGCATTAAAACAAATTTTGGCACATGTAGAGAAGTTATACGCATAATAAGGATACATGGATAGAATCACTCGTGTTTGTTTACAATACAAAATTTTTAACCACGAGGATTCAACAGCAATATTACTGAATTAGCATTTGGTACATATTGTTTTAAATTGTCGATCAATGGCTTTGGTCATTATCGTTTTGTGATGATTTCGTAACAATAATTTTAAGGACCTATGACTGGAGTACCTTAATACTTGGCCCCGGAGGTAATGCTCCTGGTAAAACAAGTCTATAACATTTCGGTTCCAGTGGACTGTAACATTTCTCTGCGGTACCTTTACGAGGATTGTTTTTCTGTTGTCTCCCACGTTGACTAACTGTATGTCTTGGTAGATTAGCGATGTCTTCTCGGATACTCTTATATTGATCTTTGTCTAACTCTGCCGTGGAAATTGTTTTGTTCTGTAACTGTTCTAGGAGTTGTCTAGCTATTTGGGATTGCTTTGAATAAGGGGGTAAAGACATAATGTATGCCTCTATTGCTTTTAAAATCAGCTCATCATAAACAGATGATACGATGTCAATTTTTGGTAAATCGAGTGATTTACCAGACCTGTATGATCTTCCAGAAGACGAATGTAAGAGGCGGGTTCCTGGAAGTGACTTCAAGTCACCTAAACTTTTTGATTTTTCTGAACTTAAGTCGGGAACTGTCATCGCTCTAAGACCAAGAGAAGGCAGAATTTCATTAAAACTGCTAATTTGACTACCTTTTATAGATGGAAGATCAACAGACTCCGCAAAATGTACTCTTTTCTGTGAGGAATCTTGAGATACTGATTTTCGAACGAAATCAAGGGATTTGACACCATATGATCCTGCAGTTCCTAAAGCTTTTCTTTGCTCATCAAGGGAAATAAATGGCAATTCCAAACACCTTGTTGACAAAGATCTTGTAGATCCACGCAGTACGACGGCCTTTCCAACAGTTTCCCTAGTTTCAACAATTTCATTGTCTTCACATATAGTCATTTTAATAGGTTTTTCATATATAGTCTCAAAATCCTGGTAATCCCAATCTCTGCTCCCACGATGTCCAATAGATGTGGTAATTGTTGTTGCAGGAGTAGTTGGAGGATTTTTAGGTGTTAACTTTATTGGCAGCGGAAATACTATCTGCTTCTGAGTAAGCGGTCTTTCGGGTAAAGTCATTGGCTGTGATGGAAGTCCAAAATTATGAGCAAGCGTCATCGTTTTTGATTTGTCTGTAAATATTCCATAATCTTCCTTTGTTGTAAAAACAGTAGATCGACTAACCAGTTGTTTCCGTTTTTTATCGTCTCTCTGTCCCTCTTTCAATTTCGCTTTCATTTTTGTTTCTTTTTCCTGTTTTTCTGGTGAAACGACAAAATAAACGTACGGTACTTCTTCGCCTGTGTTTGAAATTGGAACCATTTCCATCGCTGTTTCCGTGTCAGGATCTTTTTTGTCCTTCGTGGTTGGCGTGAAAACATCAGCTACACGTGGAATGGGTCTTGAGCAGTTCAAGGCTTGGTTCTGAACCTTTTCAAAATGTCTAGCTCTGGATTCTTCAAGCTTTGTACGAATTAAGGTCATTCTCTTCCGTGTGAGTTCATTTCTTGTTATTACGAGTTGCTTGCTTTTGTTGCTTTTGTTCTTTTTCACATGTTTCTTTTCCTTTTCAGCTTTTTCATTATCTTCGCCATCATTGAACTGGTTTGGCGGATTCGCGTGCAGAATAAAATACGATGACACTGACGAAGCCATTGAAATCTATATAGTACACCCTACAAATAAAAAAAGATCCATTTAACAGCACTGAAATATGTGATGAGATTTTTGAAATTGTTAACAAAGCAATACAATTAATGACTGTGTACGATATTTAAAATTCAGAAGAGGCGAAGTTATATGACACTTTAAAACGTACACAACGATATAAGACAAAACGCATTTGTAATGGGTTACTTGACGTTTTTTAAAAGAACAAAATAAAATTATCTTCCCTTTTACGTCATATTTGTTCAGTAGTCATTCAGTGATATATGTAACACAGATCAATATCACCAGATTTTCAAAAGAGAGAGGCCCCCTGGTAAGCCAATGTGTGGAGTGATTCTTGTAAAAAGTCTATGTATTTACCATATATGTAGCTCCATAAGGGGGGCCATGACCCCTGCCCTCTAAATCCGCCTCTGATCAATTCTGGCTCTACTGTGCACTTAATGAATCTCCATTTATATGGATTTAAAAAACACTTATTTTCTTTTGAAAAAAAGGTGCAGCTGCGCTTTACAGTCATGCTGGCCTTTCAAGAGTACGTGATGTCACTTCTTTAGCGACTACAAAATCCTTTATCATTGGTTGCACACAAGTCTGGTCCAATGAAATGTTATGTAATTGCCAACAGGAAAGACAACTTCTATGTCGTTCTCTGGTGGAGAGTTGTCTCATTGGCAATCATACCGCATCTTCTTATTTTTATATAACCACCAAAGATATCTTGTTGCTCGTTAAGGTCCATTCTATCCATACCGTGTGTTAAAGGTTGTTAAAAACTCAACAAAGTTAAGAGACAGAGTTGATTCCTCTCGTATTAATTTCTCTAGCAAGATTATTTTAAAAGTCATCGAGTCTTGACCACGTCTTGACTAAAAATCGCAATAGTGCCACTTCTTGTCCATACTATCATACTATATTTCTCAACATTTAACATAAAACAAAGCGAATTATATCTGAAAAAAAAATATTTATTGTGTCTTTCGGGTACACATTCAGCTGTTTTGGTTCCAGTTGTTCGTTAAAAATGACAAAACTTGAAGAAGTAAACAATGTTTATGTGTTGTTTATTACTGTTTTGTTCGTACTTGCATTTTTGTAATCTCCTATACCGGTATTATGCGGTTAAGTGTTTTTTTCCCCAATACAGATTTTAATTGTACGTATTTTTTTGCACCTTTTTATTCCACCTTATATCGAGATTAAAATAGTGTTGATATCTTAAAAAACTAGTTTAACCCCGCCACATGTTCAAGTCAGGAACCTCTTCAATATTAACTGTTGTTCTTTGTTGGATTGCTGTCTTATTTACATGTACCCCACATCTTCAATTATTCAATATGTAAAATTTGCAATACTTATCGCGATAGTCCTTAACAACATTGTGTAACTGTTTGGCTGAAACCCGAGGCAGTGGAATAAAACTGTCACCCTATCTGGACACATTCTAATTGAGGATCAACCAGCCTTTGCTCTTACTCATTAATGTCATTTGCTTAGTGGAGAACCAGCAATACATTTTTTAGATTCTTTGGTTTGACCCGTCCTGGGATCGAACCCACGATCTCCCGTACTTGAGGCGAGCACGCTACCATGGATCCACCGATGGGCCTCTCATTTACTAGACATCAAACCTACTCTGATTCCCAACTTTGAAGACATTAATATTTTCTGATTGGGATTTTTTTGCCATAAAATTGAATGTTTAGTCATTAAAAAAAATAAGATAATTTGATTCTTGCGTTATACAAACAAAATCTTCAGAATGAAAAATAACACCCCCACTCCACCCCTTTTCAAAGTTAAATGGCCGTTCCCTTAGCAAAAAACGATGGAATTCGTCAAGTCTTTGAAATAAGATAGCAGGGAAGTTCAGGAATGCTCTGCTCACAGTTTTTTTCGTCTACAATAAGTAACACAAACAAAACTCGAGTAAATCCTAATCTACGAAGACAACACTGTACTTATAACAATTCCCATTAAATATAAACACAGTGAGAAATAACTGAATTAAGTTGACTCATTAGCAATAACGACATCTCCTTATTTATAGGAATACTCGACTCATGTTCATAGAGCTATAGTTCATGATAAGCTAGAGATAACGTTTGTTTCGAATACTAAGAGAACCCATGACGGTCAAATTCAGTACAATGTATTCTCAAGAAAAATCAAGACTATATGTGATTATATTTTTTGAGAATTTTGGCTTTATCTAATACCCTTAAGGATTAAAGACCCTTCACTCTGTTTTATCAAAGGATAGTTACGTAAATAAAATAGCGTGTGTTGGTGTTTTTGTTTGAATATGCATAATAAAAAGATTTCTGTGCGACTTACCTCTTACATGTTGAAAATATTTACCAAAAATATAACAAGGAAATTTCACTAGGACCATTTAAAATGGCAACTCAATAATTATGTTACCCTAACAGTATGAACATTTTGTAAATAGTTTAATCCCGTTAATACTTCTTTTAAATAAAATAACACAATTCTAGACACAAAGGCTAATCCGGTTAAACCTCTTATATTAATTTTTGTAGTAGTTCGTTAGAGAGTTGATAATCCCCGATATGTACATTACTTTATTTAACATATATCTGTAAATTCAATATGATATTATTACATCTGTTTGAACTGATTCTCAATTGGTCAGATTGTGATTCATTTTGAACGTGAAGACAATGTGATAGTTTTTGTAAATGTTGATGGTTTCCATGTTTAAATAAAAAATGCTAACGAATGCAGAGGTTTATTTCTATATAATTTTTTTTGGCACACCATGCTGTACAAACATGATTAATCCCAATTTTGCAAAATCTAGTTAAACAAAATACTAAAGATGTCTTTCAAATAAATGTCTTTACATTATTTTCTACCCCCCTTTTTTAATGTTACATAACCATTGAATCCCATGTGTTTTAAAGTCGTTACTACGACACGAAAGTTACTTGGAGAACGTAAGCGAAGTTCTTCTTAAACTATGCTCTTCAAATGAAAAATGTAAAAGAAGCATAGAAACTATCTACTGACTTAAGTGCTAAATCGACTTTTTTTTTTATTTTTGGAAAAAAATACATAAAAAGGAAAGAAAGAATAACAGGTATCGCGAACAACAAACCACATCAACCACCAACACCCGACGCCTTCGAAAAAACTAGACTGACAAGCAAAGACCAATAACAACGGTTTATTCTGGCTATTCCTACATTTTGAATTTTATAGGTAAAACAGTAAAATTTTATGTTGGAGTTCCCAGAATCTTTATGTAAACAATGGCATTATGTAGGATTATGTTGTAACAACATTAAACTAATGAACCAAGGTAAATCCAGGTAAATCTTGTGGAAAATAAAGAAAAGGAATAGTTTATATTACAACAATATTTTATCTAATAATTTCATAGCACATTTTGTGTAAATAATATTCAAAAGCACAATATAAATTGTTAGGCACAATGTTATTCACAAGCAATTGAAATTATTTTGGTGAAAACATTAATAATATATACAAGGAAATAATATCAATTGAAATATAAATATATTGAAATTGTAGTAATTATTCTTCGAAACAAAGCACTAAATTTTGAGTTACACTATATATTCTTTGAATCAAAGCACCGAAAAGTACACTAAATTGACATTAAGGGCATACGATACAGTTTTGATCCCACGGTGATTTTTTTACGAAAATTTGCATACAAGCTATTTTTCACCTGGTCAATTCAAATGTGTAATTAAAAATATACCTTCATGTGCTAAATTTAGAGATAAATGGGGTCGAAATTTTAGACATTTACCTAAAATTTCGGTTTCTTGGACATTTCTATCCTTTTGATATATATATTTAACTTTTTTGTTTCAAAAGATAAACACATGCAGATTTTTGTAAGAAGATTTGGAATATCTGCGTTACAACTTTTGATATTATATTCATTTTAAAAAATCATAATTTATTCAAATAATGAAATTAATTAATTCTTTGAAGCTGAAGTTGAAAGTGTTGGTTACTATTAAATGCGTTAACTACCTTTTCTTTTAAATTGTTTTTTTTTCCAGAATTTTAAATGCTTTTACTACTTTTTCTTTTAAACAATTTTATTTTCAAGAAATTCCATATTAGAAACACATAATTATAACACTTGATACATGTTTTCAAACAAAAACAAAAAAACATTTCTTACATAAATTTCATATACATAATTATTTTTACTTAATTTCCACAGGTAAATTTACCTGTGACCCAATTAAACACTAATGACTAAAACAACATATTTTGCAATAACAACATCTATTGTTCTTCCCATAATCTCCCATGTAGGAATAGCCAGAATAGTAAAATACAAAATGTAGGAATAGCCAGAAGACACTGGCCATAACAACGAACACCACATTGTCCAGATATATAGCCTTGCTTGGCACAGGCACAAAATGTGACGGGGTTAAACTAGTGTTACATTTTGCATATCTAGACCATACATCGTAAAACTGAAACATCAAATAAGTAAAGCCAAATTTTGGACTTATCCAAGAAAAATAATCTGAGTTTGTATATCTGCTTTACCGTAGCATGTTTAACTTTAGTTTCTTGTGTGCTAAATTTGCAAGGAAGCTTGCTCAAGCTTCACATTCCCAGATAATCACATAGCCGAAGTACCAGTCAAATTATCAATATGTAAATTTCAAATGCACGAGAAAACAACGTTTGTTAATTAACTAATTAAATTGGTGACAATCTATCATATAAGAGTTCGACGTGTCATTTTTTTGTATGTTTCGAAAGGAGGCGAAGATAGAGGAGTTGATGTTTTGGGAAAGAGGGGCAAGTGATATCCTTTAATCTCACCACACTTTGCGTCTGAAACAACTTGTAGAGTCAATAATTATAGTATCCATTTCTTATTGCTTAGATTTCTTTCTCGTTTGTGGTTGTCTTCTCTCGAACGAGTTAGTTTCTGGTATCTTTGATGTTTGCTGGTGCGTTTTATTTATTTAGATC